GAAAATGGTGGTTTTTACTGGAAATTCTGAGATAAAAATGAAAAGCACATAAACCCTATACTCTAGTTGGTAAATTTGTTTTCCAAGGGGGTGTACATTAACAATTCTGAATCTGCTTTACACATATACTAGCATTGAATAAATAAGTGGATGGTGGGTGGTGAGGACCAGGTTTCTCAGTATTAAAGATAGGAGAGTTATAATGACCTCTCTGATTCTGACTTAGAGCTGAAAAAATCAGCAGGAACCCATGTTTACCTTCCTAAAGATGGAAAGATATAGAAACAATCCTAGATATGTATGTATGTATGCATTAGGATACATCATCTAGCTCTTCCACTAAAGAGGGCCTAGAAGGAATAACTCTTAAGTGGTAGTAAACAGTTGTAGCATTAAGATTTTGGTCCTAAATCCCAATCTCAGAAGGTACTTTGCTTCTTGAAGAAATAGTCAGGTTTAGAGCTGGGGCAGGAAAAGTACATGAGCCTGACATACTGTACCAGAAAGTAAAAAGAAGTGCTCAAAAAATAAAGGATAGATGTATGTCAAAGGTCTATAGGTTCCAACTTCAATCCTAAAGTCTGTATTTATTGAGTATGGAGTGCACTTAATGTCTTGCCTCTAATTAATAAAGTATAGAAAGAAAAAAAATAGTAACTTTATAATGAAGGAACCTGGCAATACTTCCTTAACCAAGTGACCAAGGTTAACATCATGAGTAATGTAGATATGTTGTAATGAAAAAGGCATTTTACTTCTATCATATTCTTTCCTAAGATAATCTCAGTCTAACCACAAGAAAAATGCAAAACAAACCAAATTAAGGTTTGTAAAATATATGACCAAAACTTTCAAGATCATGAAAACGGGAAGACTGAGAAACTGTTACAGATCAAAAGAGATGAATTAATGTAATATAGTATCATGGATTTGATCCTGGAATAGTAAAAAGGACACTAGTGTAAAAACTTATGAAATCTAAATAAAGTTTGGGCCTTAGTTAATGGTAATGCACCAATGTTGGCCAAATCCATTATAATAACTTTTTTTTTCTTTTAGTACTGGGAATTGAACCCAGGAGTGCTTTACCACTGAGCCACATCCCCAGTCCTTTTTTATTGAGACAGGCTCTCGAAGGTTGCTGAGGCTGGCCCCAAACTTGCAGTCCTCCTACCTCAGCCTCCCACATTGCTGGAATTATAGGTGCGCACCACTGTGCCTGGCTGTCAAAATAATTTAAGATAATAAGATCAGAGAAGTCTGAAACTGATGTATATGACATTCTATACCAGCTTAGCAACTTTTTTTCCCCCTTCTTTTTTGCTTCTGAGTATTGAACCCAGGGATGTTTAACCACTCAGGTCAGCCATGTTCCTAGCACTTTTTATTTTATTTGGGATCTGGCTAAATTGCTTGGGGCCTCACTAACATGCTAAAGCTGGTCTCAACCTGTGATCCTCCTACCTCAGCCTTTTCTTTAAATTTAATATTATCCCAACGAAAAAGTCTATTTTAAAAAGGCTGAGAACAGAATGTAGGATATATTTATGAAAAAGTCTAGCCAGGCTTGGTGGTACACACCCATAATCCCTGTAGTTTGGGAGACTGAGACAGGAAGATCTCCAGTTCAAGGCCAGCCTCAGAAAATTAGAGAGGCCCTATGCAAACAAGTCCAACCCTGTCTCAAAATAAAAAAATAGGGCTGGGGATGTGGCTCAGTGGTTAAGCTCCCTGGGTTAAATCCCCAGTACCACAAAAAAACAAACAGTAATATATAGACATTGATCTAGATATATTTATATGCACTGATAGATGGTTTAGTAAAATTTTTACTAAAATATTAATAGTAATAGGGTTTGGGGATATTACTTTTTGTCTTTTTCTCTAGTATTAGATTTTCTTTAATTAACATGTTTATATTTTTTAAATAACACTATTAAAAATAAGATTTTCTTTCCAGCGTCCTTTCCTAAAAGTGTTTCTATAATAAATTTTTAATCAGAAGTTTTATATGTATGAAGTAGAGAAAAAAATGAAAAAAGTGATATCAAAGGTGGACCAAAAGTATATTTACATATCATAAAAGAATATTAAATGACAGAAAAATAACTTGTTAACATCAGTGAAAAAACTGATTATAAGCCATATATGTGTATGCACACAGTTCTTTTTCATACTTATCTTTGTTCTAAATTTTCAACAATGAACAGGTATTACTGTTTTAATTTTAAAAATTCACATTAATATTTTCATGGGAGTGACAGATAACAGAGCTACAATTGGAACTTCAGTTCATATACCAGATTAAAGCTTTTAGAATTTTTCTGGATAATATCAATTGCTTATACTTAGTTTATATTTTAAACTTTAGATACAGCCATCTTCCTTACAACTTGCAATTATTATTTGACATAATAATTATTATATATTTATTTAACATATATTTTGAAAGATACAAAGAATTTTATAAAATGTTATACTTGTTCCCAAGGATGAATTTTAAAACTTTTTTGAAAACTAAATAACAAATTTAACTTTTTTATTAGAATTATGTACCAGTATTAACCTAGAGAATCAAAAAAAGTTTTAATATTACTTTTCTAAAAATAAACAGACCCAAGTTCACTGTTTTAGAAAAAAAAAATTTAATTGGCGTAAACATCAGGAATTTGTTTTCTGTTTTGGAGGCTGGAAGTCTGAAATAAGAATGCTAGCATGGTCAGATTCTGGTGAAGGGGGTCTTTCCTGGTGCCTGAGAGATCAAGTTCCCTTGAGTCTCAGTCTCATGGAATTAATATCATAAGACTAGGACTCCACCTTCCTGACCTAATTAATTCCCAAAGGCCCCATCTCCAGTTAACATCACATTGAAGGTTATAGCTTCAACATAAGAATTTTGAGAAGACAATTTGATTCAAACCTTTACATCCCTGTCCCTTGCACTCACCACCAAATTCATGACCTTATCACATGCAAAATACATTCATACTGTTCCAATGATCTCCAGAGTCTAACTTATTCCAGTATTAACTCTGAAGTGGTCATCTAAATATCATCTAAATCACTTGTGAATCTAGACAAGTAATGTACTTCCAAAATACAATGGTGAGATGGGAATATGAAAAACATTCCTTATACTCCAAAAAGGAGAAATAAGAAAAATGGAAAGGGTGAGAGTTTCCAAGGAACTCCAAAACCTAGCAAGGCAAATTCCATTAGACCTTAAGGCTTGAGAATGATTTTCTTTAGTTCCATAATCTGTCCTCTAGGACCTTAGAGTAGAAGTGTCACCCCCACAGTTCTACATGGGGTGGGGGGTGGGGGGTCCTTCTCCTGGTGGCTCTGAATAGTGATCCTGCCTCCAAGGCTTTAGGAGGAGTTTATCTGACCTGTTGAAACTGAGGTATGGCCTTAATGATCTGAATCACATTGGGCATAATTTTTCCCTTTTTTATTTTTTTAGGATAATGTGTTGTTGTTGTTGTTTTGTTGTTGTTGTTTTGGTACTGGGGATCAAACCCAAGGTGCATTACTACTGAGCTGTATCTCCAGCCCTTTATATTTTTTATTTTGAGACAGATTCTTATCACATTGCTGAGAACCTTGCCAAGTTGCTGAGACTGGCCTTGAAACTTGTGATCCTTCTGCTTCAGCTTCAGAAACATTTTTATCATAATAGTATAACATCTACTTTGCTGAGTGGCTTTTTTTGTCAAGTACTTTACATACAGCTTAAATTTTCATAGCAATTTTATGTGATATACATAAAATATATTCTACATTCTGTTCTCAGTCTTTTTATTTGTGTGTGTGTGTTTTTGTTGTTTGAAATTTTTTTTTATTTTTTATTTGTTTTAATTAGTTACACATGACAGTACAATGATCTTGACATATCATACATTTGAATCAGATGGGATATAATTTCTAATTTTTCTGAGTGTACAGGTTGCAGAATTACATTGGTCATGCAGTCACGTATATACCCACAGCAATAATAATGTCTATTTTATTCTGCTGTTCTTCCATTACCCCCTACCCCTCCCCTCCCCTCCCATCACTTCTCTCTACCCAATCTAATGTGACCCACTTCTTTTTTTTTCTCACATCATCATACCCGAATTCTGTATAACGTAGGGGGTCTCCTTCCCTCTTCCATGCAATTCCCCTTCTCCCTCCTTTGGCCTCCCACCTCTCTTCCCTATCTAGAGGTAATTTTCTTCTCATGCTCTTCCTCCCTAACCCATTTTGAGTTACCTCCCTTATATCAGAGAAAACATTCGTCTCAGCCTTTTTAAACTAAACTAGATATTAACCTGATTTTATAAATTTAGAAACTGAGGCTCAAAAAAATTGAGTAAATTGCTGGGCGCTATAGTGCACACCTGTAATACCAGAGGCTCAGGAGAGGGAGGCAGAAGGATCGAGAGTCCAAAGCCAGCCTCAGCAAAAGTGAGGCTCTAAGCAACTCAGTGAAACCTTGTCTCTAAATAAAATTCACAATAGAGGTGGGAATGTGACTTAGTGGTCAAGTGCCCCTAAGTTCAATCCCCAGAGTTTTAAAAAAAAAAAAAAATGGTAACTTGGCCAAAAGGTACAAATAATAGTTATTCAGTAAGTTTATGTTACTTATAAATTTTTTGTGCATTATTTATAAGTAAATTTTAAAAATACTGAGACTCCTCTGACATTAAATATGTTATGCAGTGTGTACAAACAGTTCCTCATATTATGCTGTCCTACGTTCATACTTTCTTTATATTTTACAAATATATAATTATGATCAAATTTTAAGCAAATATTTGTAGGTTTCTTAATTTATTTTGTGTCACTTTTAGGACAGTTTTAAAATATCAGGCAATACAGGGGTTTTTGTGGGTTTTTTTTTTTTATTCTTATGTCTTCCTGATTTTCATAAGTTCAGGTTTCTGGTTTATGCCTTAGAGCAATTATATTTAATAGCCACACACTTAGTAATCATCCTCTTGTACTTTCTGTTTCAGGCAGAAAATGTAACTGTGACAAAGGATTTTAGAAGAGTGGAAAATGCTTATCACATGGAAGCAGAAGTATGTACTTAGCAAATAACTGGAAACAGCATGATTTTGTGGAGACAGCTTGTCATTTAGTTTTATTTTTGCAAAAAAATATACCAGAGACATGCTTCTCGTAGTTTTGATAAAAGATTATTTTTCTCAAAATAATTTTTGATGTTGTATAGATGATCTTTTAAATATATTTAATGAGATTTAAGAGAAGTTATTTAAAATGCAATAAAAATAGCAACAGGGAAATAGCAGTTAAATACCACCTGAATAAACTTTTAGTAAAATTATTGCCTGGTGAGCAGGAAATACTACAGGAAAGAAATTTCTCTTAGATAAAGAGAAAATGAATAGGGAGGGGAAGAATAGAAATTCAGTGGATTAGATAAAGGGGAATGAAGGAAAAGGGAGGGTCTAGGAATAAGAAAGACAAGGGAATGAATCTAACATGAATTTCCTATGTATATATATGAATACATCACAGTGAATCCCCACATCAGGTACATCTACAAGACTGGGATCTAATTAGAATAAGACATACTTCATGTTTGTATAAATATCTTAAAATATACTCTACTGTCGTGTATAACTAAAAAGAACAAGTAAAATTTAAAAAGAGTAAATGAAAAAAGTCATAAAGGATTGAAACACATTTTAACATTCTTTTATTCCACAATGCAACTTAACTGTGTTTTAATAAGTATTATTTGGAAATAAAAACTGCTTTTCCTTTACACAAATTAAAAAAAAGGGGGGGGCTAGGGATATAGCTCAGTGGTTGAGCACTTGCCTGTGAGGCTCTGGGTTCAGTGTCCAGCACCACACACACACACACACACACACACACACAAAGAGGGAAACATTTAAGTATACTTAATTGATGATAACATTATTTAGAGCCTACAACTGTCTCAGCTTTTTACTTTCCTTTAAAGTGTGATGATTAGGATATTTTTTATGGAATCAGAATATGTTTCTGAAACCACATGTTTGGGGTATGTGCTTAATGCATGTTGCCTCCTTGTCACAGGAGAAAAAGAACAGTGAGGTTAGAATGGAATCTTGTTTACCCAGTCAGAGAATCTTTGTTTTTAGAAGTAGAAAGTACCTCAAGGTATCACCTAGTCCTATCTTCAGGCAGAGATAGATTATTTTTTCTCTAATTTTTCTATTAGGTTTAGATCACTTAGATCTAGACTTCTTAAAGGGCATATAATAAGAATTAGAGTGAAAAACTGGAATCCTGTCTTTTTATCTCTTGAGATAGTAAACAATATTCTGTTTGTTATCTCCTGTTAACAGTTTTGTGATTTCACCATTTTAATGTAACTATTTCAAGGAAATTTAAAATTACTTATTATGATTTTAGTGATCCATTTAGCAAAAGTATACTCGTGGGGACTAAAAAAAAAATCTTTCAAAACAAAATGAAGAACAGTCTAAATTACAGAGGTTGAAAGTTCGAGTATGCTATAGCATTTCAATAGTAGATACTACCTGTTAGAGCTTCAGATTGTAACACAGAGGAGCAAATTATCTTAGTTAAAGAGGTTTATTGTGAGGGTATATCAAGGAGAAAAGAGGAGGGAAAAAAATAGTCCCATATTTCATGAAAAACTGGCATATTTTCCAGACCACAGAGTTTTGTAGAGATTGAACTTTCAGGTACAAAGAGTACATTAGAACTGCTTGTTTTAAGAAATAACTAAATGATGACTTAACTAAACTCTCCTCCTTTTCCTTCTGCTTTAACTTGCCTTTTTAATGTATTATATTCAATTTTCTTAAGAGAATATCTGATTACATTTTGTATAGAGCTCTCTGGAAATCAGAACTCACATTATATTATACAATCCAATACATGATTGTCCTTAGATTAGCACCAGTAGTAGATATTATCTAAAATATCCAAATTTACAGGAGCAGAAAATAGAGTGTGAAGGGGGTGTGTGTGGAATAGGAGATCTTGTTCAACAGGCATAAAGTTACAGTTATATAGGATGAATAAGTTCTAGATATCTACTCTACAACATAGTAGCTATAATTAGTTTGGTATTATGCACTTACGAATTTAAGAGGGTAGATTTCATGTTTTAATGTTCTTACCACAGAAAGAAAAACAAAACAGCAAATACCACAAGAAAACACTGCAAAGTGATAAATAGGTTTATGGTCTTCATTATGTTGCTTGTGGTAATGGTAACACAGGTTACTTTAAAATTCGACAAATTGTATATGTAAAATGTGTGCGGTTTTTTGGTTTGTCCATTATACTTTAATAAAGCTGTAAATAAATTTTAAAAAGATTAATGGACATTACTTTTCCACATAATATCTGAAATTTTCATTCTGAAAGGCATTTTAAAGATGTTTTAGCTAACCTCCCACCACTTGGCTGTTCCCCTTTGGTTTAAGAATAAACATGTTGAAGGTTAGAAAGTTTCTAAATGACTTCATTAAATGTAGATGAGTGAATATGTGTGGGAAGTGGGAGTTGGATTAAAAACCGGGCTTTGAGATTCCTATATTGGTACACTTGTCACTTCTTTTGTTCTTTCTTATAATAATCTCAGTGTCAAGAGAGATTTTAAAGCCTGAAATATTAGAGGCATTCACTAATGTATATCAAAAGAAAAAGTAGTGTAGCACTCATAAGAATTTCCCCCTCCCTGTTCCCACTTATTTTTCCTGAATGCCTCCCATTATAACTGGGACTTAGAGAGGCTGCCTTTGCTAAAAGCAGTGACTCTTTACCTAGATCTGCAGTTGCTGTCATGGGTAACTGAAAGCAAGAGAAAGCTTAGCATCTCTGCCTTTATTTTATATTTGTTTCCTTTATTACCTTAAACTTTGGATTGTGTTCCTGCTTAGTTCTGCACATTGGTATATTAATCTTCTAAGGAGTGTTTATCGAAAAACTTCACATCATGTACAACCATAAGAATAGAATCCTAATTAGAATAAGTTATACTCCATGTATGTATAATATGTCAAAAATACTCTACTGTTATATATATCTAAAAAGAACAAATAAATAAAACCCTCTAGTAATACAAGGTTTATTAGCCCTAAATTTACCATACTTATCTGTTTGTCTTGAAGACAGAGACAACATTTACAGCATCTCTTATTTCAGACCTCTGGGGTGGCACCTATAAGTCTTCAAGCTTGTCCTAAACATTCCTGGAAATTATTCCATGTTTTAGTTCGCTTTTTCACCACTGTGATCAAAAAACATGACAAACAATTTTAGAGGAAATGTTTATTAGGCATTCACCATTTCAGAGGTCTCAGTCCATAGATATAGCAGACTGCATTGCTCTGGGCCTGAGGTGAGGCAAAAGATCCTGGCAGAGAGTGTAGTGGAGCAAGGCAGCTCAGGACACCAAGAAGATACTCTGCTCAACAAAGACAAAATATAAGCCTCAAAGGCACACCCCCAGGGACCTATCTCCTCCAGCCACACCCTATCTGCCTACAGTTACCACCTAGTTAATCCATTCAAGTGAATTAACCTACTGATTAGATTAAGGTTTTCATAACCCAATCATTTTACCTCTGAACGTTCTTTTATTATCTTACACATGAGCTTTTGGGGGACACCTCATAGCTAAACCATAACATCCCATGATGAGACTGCCCCCTGCCCCCAGCAGGAACTGTCATCCATCTCATGAGAACTGAAGTGTGCCCTCTTTACCCCTTTCTAGGATTACAGGTCTGGTGGATAAATTTCCTGAGCAACAAGAGGAAATTGCCCTCTCAAGTGGTAGACATCTCTGGCACTATCTAATAGAAACAGAACTCAGAGAATGAACAACTAAACCACAGTTTAATCAAATCTGCTTAATTATGCAGATCTCTTGTCCCCTACCTCATTCCATCCTCTGTTTAAACCTATACTCATGTGTGCTCTGAAGATAGGACTGAGAAGCTGGATCTCACTTTGCCTTCCCAGCATGGCCTTATTGATTAAAGTATCCTTTCCTGCTTTTCATGTACCTTTTCTCTTTGGTGTTTGGGACAAGTGGCCAAACATGGTCTTTTGGGGACCACTGGAGTCAGGACCCTAGCCTAGGACTCCAGTAACACCATATGTTGAGCATTTTCCATCCATATCTCTTCCAATCTTTGTTTTAACTATTCATTTTTCTTTTGAAATATTTTATACGTAAGACCCATTGCATTTCAGACATCTAATAAACAACATTTTCTAACCTTATACCAAAATTGACTTACTGTACCTATCTACTGTTAGAGTATCTCTTCCAGAAGGAAAAAAAAATAGCTAATTATTTTCTTGAAGTATATAGCTGAAGCTCACTATCATATTGATGCTACATTTGTCTTCTCTAGGAGTAAAGATCCTCGCTTTCTTTGGTCATTTCTTATATGAAAAACTCTTTCCTGAGTTAGTCAATTTCATCCTAAAGGATCTACATCTATAGTGTCCTGCTGTGATTTGACTATTCATGTTAGAGGAAGATGATTATTATCCTCACTCTAGAATATTTTTTCCTAGTAACACACTGAATTAGCTTTTGGGCATTTGCATCACTTTGTTCTATTTAGCTTATAGCCTTGGTCAGTAATTAACAGTCTTTCTCACATGCTGCTTTTTGAATCATATTTCTCCCAATAAATCATATTTCTTCCATCTTATTTTTTTATTTACTGATTCAAAATGAACTGGGATTTTATATTTGCCTCTATAAAATTTTGCCCATAGATTCAATCTATATTCTTAGCCTGCAAAATAGCAGAGAAATAAAGTTTATAATAAAGAGAAAAATAAAGTCAAACCACTGCAGAACTGATACAGATGTTAAAATTAATTGGCAACGTCATTGAAAGATATTAGAGGGCTGGGGTTGTGGCTCAGTGGTAGAGCACTTGCTGGCATGTATGAGGTACTGGGTTTGATTCTCTGCACCACATATAAATAAATAAATAAAAAGGTTCATCAACAATTAAAAAGAATATTTTTAAAAAGTTATTAGAACTGTTTTATATACACTCAAAAATTAAGTAAGGGAGAGGAGAGAGGTAAAAGTCTTAAACTTCCAGAGATGAAAACTATAGTGTGAAAAAAAGAAATATAGGACTAATATCAAAGTTGACATTACACAGCCAAGCTTAGTGAATTTGAAGACACTGCAATAAGAACATCTAGAACAAAACATAGTAAGAAAAGACAAAAAAGAATCAATGGATTGAGGGACAACTTGCAAGTGACCTAATATACATTTAATTTTAAGTCCCAGTGGAGGAGAGAATGGAGAACAAGGATACATCTGGAGAAATAAGAACCAAAAACTTTCCAAACCTAAGGGGAATTGTAAAACCACAGATTCAAAAAGTATAATCAACCCTAACCACAACAAATACAAAAATATACAAGTGCACATTATAATCATATTGCTTAAAACCAGTGAGTAATAAAACAGCCAGAGGGAAAAATATTCATTATATACCAAGTAACAAAGGCAACAGATTTCTCCTTGAAAACAATGAAAGGGAAGAAGCAGTAGAATTAACATATTTAACAAACTAAGAGGGAAAATCAACTATAAACCTAGAATTCTATATCCAGCAAAAATACTTTTCAAAAACTAAGACCAATTAAAGAGTGTTTAAGTAAGCTGAAATAATTCATTACCTATATACGTGCACTGTGAGAAATGTTAAATGATATCATTTAGACAGAAGAAAAGAGACCAGAAGGAAACAGGAATCTACATAAAGGACTGAAGAGTACTGAAAATGTTAACTATATGGTTAATATATGATATTTTTATTACATAAATCTTTAAAAAATATAAGTATTGTGAAGTTCTTATATATAAAAATGGTACATTTCTTGGAAGAGTTTGATAAGTTAAACATGTATCCTGTAAACCCTAAAACAAACATTAAAATAGCAAAAAGGACTATCATTAATAAGCCAATGAAGGATATAAAATAGAATAATAAAAATATACTCAGTCCAGGAGTTGGAGAATATAATGCTAAGTGAAGTTAGCCAATCCCAAAAAACCAAAGGTCAAAGTTTTCTTTTATATGAAAATGCTGACTCAGTGGCATTGGTGGGGAGCATGGGAGGAATGGAGGAACTTTAGAAAGGGCAAACCAGAGGGAGGGTAATGGAGTGGGCAAAGGGGTAGGAACAATGGTGGAATGAGTTAGACTTCATTACCCTAAGTACATGTATGAAGACATGAGTGGTGTGAAAATACTTTGTGTACAATCAGTGACTTGAAAAATTGATTTCTATATTTGTAATATGAAATGAATTGCATTCTGCCATCATGTATAACAAATTAGAATTTAATAAAAAATATACTCAATTCAAAAGAAAACAAATTGAGAAAAAGAGGAACAGAGACAAATCAAAAATAAATAGTAAGATCAGAGGTTTAAATTTAACCATATCAACAATCATATTAAATGTAAATGGCCCAAATACCTTCATTCAAAGGCAAGTGTTTCAGATTATATAAAAAAGTGAACTCTCTCTATATGCTGTCTGAGAGAAGCATACTTTAAATGTGAAGGCACATTGGTTAAAAGATGAGGAAAGACAGACCATGCTACCACGAATCAAAAGAAAGGTAGAGTGACTAAATGATATTAGACAAAGTAGATTTCAAAGGAGAGAATATTACCACAAATAAAGAAAATAATTTCATAATACTAAAAAAGAGTTAATCAAGAGGACATGCAATCCTAAATACTTAGATCAAAGCTTCAAAATACTTGAGACAAAAATGATAGAACTGCAAGGAGAAGTAAATGGAGAAACCATGTTTATGACTTAAAAGACTCAATATTATTAAGATATCAGTTCTCCCAAAAGTGATTTATATATAGATTCATTACAATTCTAATCAAAATTCCAGCTAGCAGCCAGGCACCTTGGTGCTTGCCTATAATCCCAGTGACTCAGGAGATTGAGGCAGGAGGATTGCAAGTTTTAGGCCAGCCTCAGCAACTTAGTGAAGTCCTAAGCAACTTAGTGAGACCCTCTCTCAAATAAAAAGGACTGGGAATGTGGTTCAGAGGTAAACTGTCTTTGGGTTCAACTACCAGTGTAAAAAAAAAAAAAAAAAATCCCAGCTAGGCTTTTTTTTTCCGATAGAAATTGACAAACTGACTATAAAATACATGTAGAAATTCAAAGGATCTAGAACACTTTGACAAAGCAGCATCTTTATTTATAATAGCCAAAAATTGGACACAACTAAAGAGTTTTCAAAAAAACTATGTTTATATTCATATAACAGAATATAAAATTAACCAACTATTGACCATCTACAACTAAAAAAAATTATAAAAAATTAATCCACTATTATGCCAGAATAGGGATGAATCACAGATGCATTGTGCCAAGTGGAAGAAGTGAGTCTCAAAAAGATGCATATTGTATGCTTTCATTTATATGACATTCAGAAAAAGTTCAATGTATAACAAGAGAACAACAGACCAATGGTTGCCGGGGGTAGGGGTTGATTTAATAAAGGGGGTTCTTTGAGGGAATTTAGGGAAACAAGTCTATTATTATAGTTGCAGAGCTCTGCATATTTATCAAAAGTCATAGAACTTTACACTAAAATATTTATAGTGTATTTAAAATAAATAAATACATAAATGGTGCCATGATGTGATCATTTTTGAAGTTAGGTAATTGATGTCTGGGAATTCTTCAAATTCTTAAATCTACTATTATATATATTTGAAATTATAAAGCTAAAAAAATAAACTATGATATTAGAAGATGTCCACATAGATCATAGTATGATTAATAGAGTAGTAGTAGTAAAGACAAAGAATTATGAGATGACCTCAACTTATACAATGCAGAACATAGTCAAATAGATTAGCTTCTGCAAATAGATGTGAAAATGACTAGTGGCAGCAGTGAAGTATGATGTAATTGCTGCTTATCAGTATCTAATGGCATAGATTAGATTAAAGAAAAAGAAAAAGTTATCAGGATTAGAAATTAGCCAAAAAATAAAACTGAAGGGGAAATCCTCCAATTTCATAGAAATTCAAATTGAATAAATGAATTTTAAATATTCAGGTCAATATAGATAAATTTCAAAATTCATAAGCAAGAGTCTTTTAATAGCAAAATAATTTAAGTATCAAATAGTCTTTCTTTTTTATTATATAATATAAAAGAACCTTATAATCTAGGTTTACTTTTTTTACTCATATTTAAAAAAATAAATTTGAAACAGTACATTAGACATGAAAATAATACCAAGTGTCATTTCATTTACAGGTTTGCCTTACATTTACTGAATTTGGAAAGATGCAAAATATTTGTAATTTCCTCGTTGAAAAGCTAGATAGCTCTGTTGTCATCAGTCCACCCCAATTCTATCATACTCCAGGCTCTGTTGAGAATCTTCGGTAAGTTTAAGCACATTTTTATTATTATTAACTAAATTATTAATTGCTTAAACAAAACTATTCAGTGAATGCCATATTAATAATCTCTGCATTTAATTCCTCAGACGGCAAGCCTGTCTTGTTGCTGTTGAGAATGCATGGCGCAAAGCTCAAGAAGTCTGTAACCTTGTTGGCCAAACCCTAGGAAAACCTTTACTAATCAAAGAAGAAGAAACAAAAGAATGGGATGGCCAACCAGATAATCATCAGTCATCCTCAAGTTCATTAACTGTACAACAAAAAATCAAAAGTGCAACAATACATGCTGCTTCAAAAGTACTTATAACTTTTGAGGTAAGAGGGAAAGAGAAGAAAAAAAAACATCTCTAAAGTTCCAAACAAAATATGTTGTATTTGTATTTTTTTATCTATTTTTGTACTTTTTATAAAGTTTCCTTTTGTCCTGAGTACGTATGTTGGATAATAGATAAACTGTTTCTTTATACGATTTGTAAGTCCTTGAATATAGTTCCACAGAATGTTCACCTTTTGTTTTCAAGAACTAACTGAGAAATGTTCTTGGGAAATAAATGTAATATATGCACACTTCTGTATACCAACAATTCATACAAGTGCATGTACGATATTTACAATATAGGAAAATACTGACACTTTTATTTCATCCATGTTCTTATATGACACCACATTTTATATAAAAACTAGGTTTCCACAACTTAAAATTTTTACATATAAAAGGAAATCTTACCATCCCATCAGACCTAATAATTTTCTAAATTCATGAGTTTGATTATTTACAAACTAGTAATTTAGCCTGTTACAGTTTCTTAGATGCTGACAGAATACATGAGACTCCAGGAACAGAAACAAAGGAGCATGAACATCAGCATATTGTCATTGGCTCCCGTTGTCCCATGTTACATAGAGAAGCACAATATGGCCATAAACATAACTACACACTCAGCAGATTTCTTATAGCTGAGGACTACGGAGCTTGAAAAATTCACTGCTTTTTATTATGAACAAAAGCAAACCTCTTTGTCCTAGAAGGCATTGCCTCTTCCTTCACAGATGCTCACTGCAAACTCAGTCCTTAGAAATAGCTCAGGTAAAGAGTAGTCACACCTAGCAAGAAATGTAGGGAAGAGGAAATTCATAGAAGACTGTCTTTCTCAACATATCTGGTAATTTTCTTACTAGATCCAGACCATTTTATGAAGACGCAGACCAACAACTTCACAACATTAACAAAAAGAATGATAATACTTTTGATAAAAGGATAATAAGGTATACTAGGGAAATATTGATGCCCAAAATTGACATAATGTATGAATTAGACTCTCTTCTACAGTGCTTGTTAGATGATACTAACACCTGTGTGATACAAGCTACATGTGTAATGCAAAATTTCCTAGTACATGTATTATAAAAGTAAAAAAAAAAACAGTTAAAAGTAATTTTAGTAATGTATTTTATTTAAGTCATTATATCCAGAGTATTATCATTTTGGTATATAATAAATATTTAAAAAATTATTAACAATATACTTATATTCTTTTTTTGTACTAAGTCTGTTAAAATCCAGTATATCTTATGTTACATCACATCTCAATTCATATGCTAAATTTTTATCATGAATACTTGATCTGTATTAAATCCCTATACTGAGCAGTTGGAAAAATTGATTCACGTATCCAAGTTGTTCCAAACATGTTTAAGTTATCCAGTAATTAGATCAAGTATCAATTTTGAAATTAAAATTTAAAAATTTTAAATGCACTTCCTTAGTTACATTGCCACATTTGAAGTACTTCAGAGCCATAAAAAGGTATTGCCTACCTATTTAAACAAAGCAGGATCATACACTGATATATAATGATCCTTAAGCTATTTAACAAGTACAAACCATTGCTATCGCATTATGTATTATTTATAAGTGATCATATCACAATTCTGTTACACCATATGCTTTCCATTCACCTAGGATTTAGAATTTTTCCATACATCTAGGACATAGAATTTTTCCTTTATATCAATATTTCTTTCCAACAACATATTCCAGGATGTAGTGTTCATCACTTCTTACTTTTCTTAAATAGCCCTGAAACAACTAAAATTTAATCATGTGGGCAGATTGTTCTTAGTCATGGGCTTCATAATATATTGGGTTCCATCATATTTGATAAAGAAGATTATCAATTGAGCATGAAATACCTAAGGCAAATTTTTTTTTAGTTAGCAAGCACTTGTTTAAATTAAAAGAATAAAGATTGTTGCTTCAAAAAAAATCTGTAGAATGTAATCTTGCACTTCAGTAGAGTGGCTATGGAAAGAAATCCTTCAGAAATTAGACTGGTTTTATCTATGGCATCCTGTACACCTTTCCAAAAATTCCAAATTACAATTGCTACTTTCTGAAAGACAAAGGATTTTTTTTTCTAAGAAACAGACCTACTATGTATCCTAAGCTTCTTTTTAAATTTTTGGTACATATTAATGATACAGAACAAGTAGGTATCATTTGTACATGCAAATAATATCATTTGATCAGTTTCATTACCCAATACCCCCTCTCCTCTCTCCTTCTTATCCTCTTCCTCTACACCAATTGTCTCCTTTCTACTTTTACGACATCCCTTTTTTCTGTTTTTCCCTTTCACTTCCACATATGAGAGAAAACATGATATTTGTCTTTCTGAACTTGGCTTATTTTGTTTAATGTCATCTAAACTCCTTTTTAAAAAGAAATGCTATTAAAATAAGGTATCTGAAATTTTATTCAATTACAACTAAAAAAATTAAAATTAGAAATGTTTATCAGTATTCTCATTTAACAGTCTATTTGAGTTCATTGTAAATAAATAAGACCTGGAAAAAAATTTTGTAACTCAAGATGCTATACCTCATATCCCATAATTATTGTTATATCTTCCTCTGGAATGTAATTAGCTAAGGAAATCCCACATCTGTCAGACTCTTTGAGAAGAACTGCATAGTGAGGAGCCTTATAATAGCCTACAAAAATAAAGCATGAATCATGAGGTCAAAACCAAGAATTAGTAAATGATTGTCCACATTATAAAATTTAATAGAAAGCAAATACTTTTATTATTCATTCCAGAAACAAATATAAATTAGTTTTAAAATAACATGAATATTTACTATTGTGCATACAGTATTTGCAGCCAAACAGCATCAACTCATAACCTAATGTGGCCTCTATTACTTCAAAATGTTCAGGTATCTTAATAGACTAGAAGTAACAGCGGCTGATCCAAATCCAGACACCACTTTCAAGGAGAGGAAATAGAAGTCTTTCAAGAAGGATTATTTGTATCATTTTTTATTAGCAAAATAAAACTTTTAAGCTTGCTTGTTAGGAGGATATTTTCATTTCAGCCACTCTTCTGGAGCTCTGGCTTCATCATCCCAATCAAAAATTATTTCTGGGCTGGGATTGTCGGCTCTGTGGCAGAGCGCTTGCCTAGTATGTGCGAGGCACTGGGTTCGATTCTCAGCACCACATATAAATAAAGGTTCATCAACAATTTAAAAAATTTTAAAAAGATGTAAATCATCATGGATTTTTTTTTTAGAAATTATTCTCGGCCATGTAACTTGTGGATGATCACCAATTTCACATCAAAATGAACAAATACTGGCTTTAGACTTTGTACATTGATTCTATTATAATAGAAGAAAAAAAAGACTAAGTAAACATTTTTATTGATTTTTAAAAAAATAAATGACAGCAGAATGCATTACAATTCTTATTACACATATACAGCACAACTTTTCATATCTCTGGTTGTATATAAAGTATGTTGACACCAATTTGTGTCTTCATACATGTACTTTGGGTAATGATGTCCATCACATTCCAGTATCCTTTCTAATCCCCACCCCCTCCCTTTCCCTCCCACCCCTCGGTCAATCTAGAATTCATCTATTCCTCCCATGCTCTCCCTCCCTACCCCACTATGAGTTAGCCTCCTTATATCACAGAAAACATTTGGCATTTGTTTTTTTGGGATTGGCTAATTTCACTTAGTCTTATCTTCTCCAACGCCATCCATTACCTGCAAATACCACAATTGATTTCATTCTCTTTTATTGCTGAGTAAAATTCCATTGTGTATATATGCCACATTTTTTTAATCCATTCATTCACTGAAGGGCATCTAGGTTGGCTCCACAGTTTAGCTATTGTAAATTTTGCTGCTATGAACATTGATGTGGCTATGTCCCTGTAGTATGCTGTTTTTAAGTCTTGGTGAGGTGAACAGAGAGCCTACATCCTGGGAGCAAATTTTTATCCCTCACACATCAGATAGAGAGCTATCTCTAGGGTATATAAAGAACTCAAAAAGCTAAGTACCAAAAAAAACAAATAACCCAATCAACAAATGGGGCAAGGACCTGAACAGATACTTCTCAGAAGAGAATATACAATCAATCAACAAATATATGAAAAAATGATCATCACTAGCAATTAGAGAGATGCAAATCAAAACCACTCTAAGATTTCATCTCACTCCAGTCAGAATGGCAGCTATTATGAAGACAAACAATAAGTGTTGGTGAGGATGTGTGGGAAAAGGTACACTCATACATTGCTGGTGGGACTGCAAATTGGTGCAGCCAATATGGAAAGCAGTATGGAGATTCCTTGGAAATTTGGGAATGGAACCACCATTTGACCCAGGTATCCCTCTCCTCGGTCTATACCCATAAGTAAACATATATTATTGGCTACATAGGTTTTTTAGATTTATTCGAGTTTCATGTACTCAGTATATTTGACAAGAGATAATATTAGAGAAACAAAAACCAAAAATAGTTTACACACTAAAAGCTGAAAAGCCCAGGTGGCAAGAGAAAATGCTCATTTAGAATGATCATGAAACAAGTTATTGATCCCTGAATTAAATCTTCCAAATGCCATGTTGCTTATCATCTGGTGTGGGGCATGAAGCATGTCCACCCTTAAAAATGAAAGTGTCTTTCAAAATAATGATTCTGTCACCTATCTTGCTCATTTTCCTTTGATAAACAATTTTGGACAAAGTCAAAAATAGGTAAATAGTTTCAGCACTTCATATATACATCAGTTTTATACTGATCACATTAATTACTTCCTAGTTATATTTCATCTGTTCCTCTATATGACTATGAACTCCTCAAAAGAAGGCCGTGTTGGAGACACTTATTTTCTCAGTTTCTGGCTAATAAGAGGGGAAGAAAAAACTGCTGTCAGATATTCTACTTTGTTCCCAAACAAAAGAGATCATTAATAGCACTATAGCTGACTGCCATTAACATGAAGTGGAGAAGGGAAACACAGGACATTGATTCCAGATGTATTCTTAAACCATATATGTTTTCACCAGAAAGCATGGTATTATTTCCCTAAAGCTTACCTTTATTAAGAAGGAATTTGTGGGTTAAGAGTAGAGATCAATAGTAGACGACTTACCTAGCAGGCATGAGGTCCTGGATCCATTACCTACCACCAAAAACAAAAACCTAAATTCATCTCAGGCTTATTGAAGTGGCTATATACATGTATCTTTGTCTTTTACCTCCTCTTGCCACCGAGGGTGAGTACCAGTTGTGCCATACTCTTTCACCAGCAGGCAGGTTACATAACAGTATGCCTAGAGAAAGTCGCTTTTGAAGTTCTGACTGTAGCCACTAGAAAACTGCATATAATAAATTCAGTTTACTTATAACTATTAATAAACAAATGCTTTAACTGAATTTGTTTCCATTGGCATTAATTTTGCTTCCAAAGCTTATTTTAGAAAATCATATTTGTATCTTATAGCAATAATGAATGTGTGGCACACAAAAAATTACATTTTTTCCTTCTATTGAATCAGTGATATTCTAATTTCATTTTAAAAGAATTAGTGTAATGATCCAAATAAATCAACTCTAGCACAAGTAAGTAAATAGCATCAAAAGAATTTTTTCCACTTATGTTAAATTAATCATGAAAAGTTCAAGGCATAACATTCTATATGGAACAGGATGTAATGTATGATTGATTCAATGCTGAATGTCAACTAAATAATAAATTCGTTTTAGTTTGTCAAATACCTCACTGCAAAGTAAATATTTCTTCTTCACCTTCATTGTACCATTCCTAAAATTATAAAGATTTGGTGATACTGATTCAAATGGTCTGCAACTAAATCAATTTGTATATGCAGCTGAAACCTTTAAAAAGCATTTATTTGTAAACCACAAAGGTCAGCATATATTTGAAAAATGTTTATATTGGCTTTATTCTGTAGGTGGGCTGAGAATTCAGTCTCCCAAAATAGTATTCCTCTTAAACATTGCATTTATTCAAAATATCCAATTACTTAATGCTTAATTTGAACAAGAAGAAATAGAGAATTGATGATCTCAATATTAAATCAAACATTTTAGAAATGCTTTACCTAAATGGTTAGACATTTCACTTACCACTATGCACTAATGCTTTGCCATACTGTTAGGTGAGAGTCCTGGAAACAACACTGCAACCCACACACAGCTGACTGAGAACACCTGCTGCAGCTCTGAGGAGAACTGGACAGATTCCCCCTCTCACCCCAGGAGAGCTGCCCTGCTGGCAAGAAGAGTGAAAAAACCACAGCAGGGTCCACCCTGCTTCTCTGTGTAAACTAGAATATTCAAAAAGTGGTAGACAGGCAGCAGCAGACAGAATAATATACTTCTTGAAAGATAGCATGGCCCGGGTAGATCCTGTAACATGACTTCTAGAAGTCTATATGGAGGTAGTACTTTTAATGCTGTTTTCAGTCTTAACACAATTCTTATCCATATTTTTGTACACCCTTTAATACTTAGGTTAATATCAAGACTAGAAAGACACCTGTATAATCTAAAGAATTTTTCAAAATCCTGGGCTTGAACCCAGGCCTTATGCAGGCTATGGAATGTAGTGTACCTGTACTGCTACACTTGCAAGCAACTGCATCTGTGAAGAAGTGGCAAAGGCCAAAATTTATCAAGTGCTTGAAATTAATAAAACACATGATAATTAGCAAAGTCTTGTTTAGAATATTTTTCATTAAGGAAAAAATAAAACAGGAAATTCTGACTACTCTCTCCCTTTTCTATCCTGGATCACATACAAAGTTGCTATTTCTCATCAATTCTCTTTTTGATATTTAGTCAAACAGCCCCAAAGCTTGCACATACATGTGAGACATAATTGAGGATGCTATACATAACTTAAGTCAAAATCTTTTCATTTTTTTCCACCAAGAAGATAAATTATTATGAATGTAGAAATTTTTATTACTGATTTGGGGAAAAAACTGGATTTTATGATTTTAAAACTTTATCCTGGGGCTGAGGTTGTGATTCAGTGGTAAAGTGCTTGCCTAGCACATGTGAGACCCTGGGTTTGATCCTCAGCACCACATAAAAATAAATAAATAAAATAAAGATATTGTGTCCAACTACAACTAAAAAATATTTTTAAAAAAACTTTATCCTTTGTCAAATCTCAATCATAGAAAGTAAGGTGTATCATGTTATCCACATGTTCTTTTTTTTTCTATACTTTGTCCAAAATATGTATTATTTTCCAGTCAAACCTAAAATAATATGGGACAAATATTGGAATAAATAAATATCAACTTACCTAATTATTTTCTAGTTTTTCTTATTGTTGGAAAAATCTGAATCAAATCAGCATGAAAATGTAAAAACTAAGTTTATTTTCAAGGTTTGAAATGGACTTTGTATAGTCATCTTGCATTTTTCCAACCCATTAAACCATCTGTTTCCTAGCTGCCTGTGGTCAGTAAGGTCCTATGCCAGTAATTATTTTTTAATCACTTTTCATTTCTAAGTGGTATTGATGCTATTAAATTGGATTACACTATTATCTGAAAAAAGTATATAAACATTTATATATGTACATAAATTTAGACACATAGATATATAAAGTTATCAAAAAAGAAAGGGATTACTCCTTTGACATGTCTCCATCATTACTAATACTTATAACTTAAACCAAGTGAATCTGATTGCTTTATTTATTTACTTATGCGTTTGTTTATTTATTTGTTTTGGTTAGGCTGGCCTGGTATTCCTCCGTTAAACAAATTTTAGCCTCTCAAGTAGCTGGGACTACAGACATGTGCCACTGCATCCAGCTGCCTCTTTATAACCAGAAAGTAATTATCCCTTTAAAGTTTTTATTTAGAAATTAAAGGGATTTTATAAGTATTAGGTAGACCTCTAGAAGCCTCATGAACTTCCTAAAAGACCTTTCCTAACTTCCTTTATTCTTTGTAAAAATATCTAAATACAAATATATTCTGGAAAGAGTATATGCAAATCAGGAATCAGATTAAGATTTGAATACAAAATCTGAAAGAATATTTATATCATATAAATCTCATGTCATTTATACAACCATGGGGAGTTTGTGTAAAGGTAAGAAAATAAACCTCTCCCATGAGACAAAAATATAAAATACATCAACTGACATACACTCCTTATCATGTCCTGTTAATTTTCAGTTTTCCTTGGAATATCATGATTTCAGAATATTTTATCATAAGAATAGAATTTTTTAATCTGTCCACATAACATTTTCCTGCATTTCTATTATAATTGCATTATTCTTTACAACCAATTTCTTTTTCCCATGAATGAGCCTTTTCTAATTTTGTACATGTTTAAAAAGAATATAAATTAGATTAAATTTATATTTGGGAATAAATTAGAACAACACTTTTTATAGGTTAATCAATCACCTCTAGAACACTTTGGAGTTTTCTTCCTATATCGCAAAATTGGTCTATTCTAATAGTTAAAAGACTTCTAAATCCTATAACAATATTCAGCATTAAAAGTGTGATTTGATAATATTTTAATATGGGTCTCAGGTGTCCTGTGAGTTCATCAATTTGCTAATGAAATCATGAATTCTCAGGGTAAAATTCTGACTTAGGGAGATTAAAAAATTGAACATACTCTACCTCAACACTAAAACACAATATCTAATGATAGTAACTCAGTGATTTCTTTCTCCCAAAGGTTAAGTAAAATATATATTAATAAAGATCTATAAGATTTTATGTACGCTGGAATAAACTGAAGGTTAAATAGTCTTTGCTGAATAACCTCATTCATTTTCCAACTATATGGAGATATTTCAGATGAAAGAAAGTATACAAGGAACAGACTGAGATCACTGTTTCAATGTTATTTTTAAGAAAAAGCCAAAAATAAATATTTTTCAAAAATTACATTTTATCTTCTAAGCTTACTAAGTAAAATTATTTTCTCCAAAGTTGTTTGTCCTCATTTGCTCACTAGTACTCAAAGCAGTTTTGAAGACTTAAAGTGTTTCTGTTTGTTCTTAGTCTAATTGCAATTTTTAAGTCTTCATTAAAATATTGTTGAACACTATGTACTAATCTCAATAAGTACCTGTATTATTATAATTTATTGAGTCACCTTCTCCTACCTCCCCAAGAAAAATCTAAGGGGGTTATAATTTCATTAAAGAACATCCTCTACAAAGTAAGAAGGCATACTGATCTCAGATTAGTTGTTTTTTTCAAATATTTACAAAGAGATGATTATATCACTACCTCAGGGAATTTCTATCCCAGGACTTCACTTTTCAACATAAGTGGTAAATTGCGCATTATTTTATAACTTTTATTTATCAGAAGCCACTATATTGATTAAGCACATTACTTTCTGTCCTTGAAAAACTAAACTATTATCTTAAATAATCGGTAAAGTTCACCTCCAAAAGATAGTTAACTATTTTTAAGGATGAAAGAAAATAAGACAGAACTACAATATAGTAAAATCTTTTTATTCCTTTAAGATTTTGAACAGATTCATCATCATAAACTTGAGAGATGAAGTTCTTTGCTGATAGAGCTGCTAGCAGAATATAGATCTGCAAAAACATTACTATACTATTTGCAGACCTCTCCACAGTGATAAGACTTCAAACATACATCTCTGTATAATACATAAGGGAAAAAAATGAGGAAAAAGAAGTGTATTAACTTTGATGTGCAAATTCCTTTAGCAATACCTACATTGGAAACACTGGGTATTTTTCCTCATTACCACTGCCTGAGTCAGTTACTGACCAATTTACATTTTTTCTTATTGGACTGAAAAGTAATTAGAAACATTATGAGATTATTGATTCCTTCACAGCTACAACTATTCTTCTAAAAATAAATGTTAAAAATCCTGTTTCAAGCACCAAAATTTCCACAGACTTTAGTTTACATACAAATTGTGTGTCCCTATAAAAGCCCACTTGATATTTGTAATAAAAATAATTAATTAAAGAGAAAGCTTAGATCACAAGAAAATGTTCCTTTGCTAGGAACAGAAGATCCTTACTTGAAGAGGGGTTGAAATCCTGAGACCCATTTAATTCATATTTTCTGTGTTAAAAGTTTAGAAGTCACTACTGAGAATGTTTTTATGTCATATACACATATAAAAATAAAAAGTTGAGATAGCTTGATAGATAGTTGAGATTGATGATCTAATCTCATCAATCTGGTAACTGAGATAGCACTTGTTACTCAGGGTTCAGTACATGCCTACCAGATTGATTCAGTGTGCACATCTATTAAAGAACTTTTGGTTCTAGACATGTAATGGGGTAGAAAATCAATGTGCAATAACTTTCTTTCCCAGTGCTGAAGATCAGCCCCAGAAAGCATGCCAGCAAGCACTCTACTATACTGAGCTAAACCCACAGCTGCAATAGTTTTTACTATTAATTATTCACATGCATTAATTAATCAAATCAATGGGTTTCCCTGTGGTATTTCTATATATGCATACATTGTGCATTACTATGACAATCTACCCTGGGATAATTCTTTTAAACCACTCTCAGCTGATCACAGTGACACAAAAGCTGACTAAAACATAGTGTTTGGCTATTAGAGAGCATTGATAGAAAATTGTAAGGAGGAATAGCATGAAAGGCCAGTCTTGGTACTGAAGAACATATTGGGGGGGGGGGATTGCTGATTTAATAAGAAAAGAAAGCAAATAAAAGACTAGCCTGAAGGTTAGCACATCCTTCCCTTTTGCTGAAATACAAAGATTTTAACTTAGTGTCTCCTGGCAAATCCACTGTGTGTCATATATGTGTATGTGAGTTTCACTAAGTGCTCTGAGAGTCCCCTTGAATGAAAGCACAATTAATGAGACAGTATCCATGTGCTCTTTTTCAGTCAAAAAGCTGAGCTTTAATGGCATAACTGCAGGATTCCTCATGTCTAAACCTGTACATCACTGGTAGGTCCCCACCTTTCACTAAGAGAAGGACCTTAAAAATAATTTATTCCAGTGGTACATATAATAACATGAATCCCAGCTGGGGAGCAGGGGGAATACGGATTACTTAAAAGACAGTAAATAGTTGTAATGTGTGGAGCTTATTTGGATCCTCAAACACATTAAAGCAACTAAAATGTTTATAGCAGGAGACCTTTAGAAATTTGAATACCAATGAGATATTTGATGTTATTTTTGTGTGCTTGATATTTTCATAATATATCTGTAAATGACATCTTTTATTATAGTATTCTGTTTCTGACAAGGACATGCGGGAAAAGTATTAAGAATGAAAAAAATCAGGTGGATCACACAAGATGGACATTAATCTGAATGACAGGCAGAAGCCAACTAAGGCTTTGATTTTTATCTGGGTAGTAGAATAGAAGAAACTTTAGAATTCCACAGGGAAGGAGAATTGCTAGACTGGAAAGGAGAGAAATTATAGTTAGTTGCTGGTGGGGGCAGGTGGCAGGACTGTCATTCCGTTCACAAGAGAAAGGAGGAAGACAATAGAAGTCCCTCCCTGAGTGATTGATTATCAAGAAATTGCAATCTACCAAGTCCAGGGTATTGTGGAATATTCAAAAGGAAATACAAATCTCAGAATTTAATTCAACAACATCAGAACAGGACAGAACCAGTTGAGTAAACTATTTGTGGAAAATATTCACTTGGTGGTAACATTTGACAGAAAA